TACTTTTTTACATATTTAGAATAGATTTTCCAAGTTAAGTAATAATGCAAATATTTCTGCTCATTTCTCTATTTATTATTTTTTATTTCCTCCAAAATGGTACGATAAACTTGTCTTGATTGAGAAAAATTAAAGTGATATTAATGTTTCAATTATGAATTGTTTAATGTATTTTGTAATTTAATTCTCATAGACATGGAAAAAATCTGCTTAAAATAATAGAAAAATCACTAATAACGAAGGAGTGATTAAAATGAATGTTTAGGCAAAAGTTGCACATTTTTAAATATAGATTACGGCAATGATTAGTTTTACATAAGTTTTCTCTTGCAATTTGAAAGTTAACTTTCGTTTCACTATTTGAAGCGAGAGAGAGGATCTAATCTAAAGACAAATGAAGCTGCTTATATGAATAATCGCTGCGAATATGAATAAATGTATTAAAATTCGAGTAAAAGCGTGCAGTAAATGAACATTTATTTATGACTTTATTAAACCGAATATCTCTGATTTCAGATTCAACGATGAAGCTTTATAGCGTTTCCGATGGACCACCATCTCTTGCATGTCGTCAAGCACTAGAATCTTTGAATATTCAATACGAATTAATCGACGTAGATTTTGGCAAGGGAGAACACATGACAAACAAATATGCAGAAGTATGCTTGTTTTTATAAGAAGTTTTCAATATATAATTTCGTTTGATAAGCATAAAAAATATTTCGCAATATTTTTCAGTTAAATCCACAAAAGGAGATACCTGTGTTAGTTGACGATGATCTCGTAATGGGAGAAAGGTACAAAAATTCACTTAAAGTTTTCTTCGCAATTCATTCACAGTTATTCTATAGTTTGCTACGAATGGCAAGTGCTGCACTTATTCCATTTCATTATTTCCTAAAGGAAAATAACGCGAATGCGTACTTTCATCTAATGTATCGACATTTATCGAATATGCGCGATGTGGCGTGCATAGCCTGTACTTAACCGTCCAAATAAGCAGCGCATAGCTACACCATGCGGTGCAGCAAAGAACTACGCGCTGGCATCTGCACACGTACGGTTTCAAAAACAGACCAAAAATGGACGTATCTAACAAGACGTCGTATGCTATCTGTCTTTTGAACCATTTCTTATACGTGGCACACATATTTGAAAATACCATTCCCTGGCAGAAATCAAAAAGCTATTGAATTCTTTTAGAGTTTTCAATATAACGGTATCTAGATAAAACTATTGCCATAGGTAGTCTTTTATTAGACAAACTACAGGTATCACATTTATAATATTTATAAATGTGTCAATGAAAATTGCAAGAATTAACCAAGATGGACAAAAGACAAAGTTGAATTCTTCCAATGTAATGATTCTTTTAGCAATTAGAGAAGAATTCTTTGAAATGTTACCCTTCTTGTCGTATAAAACATATAATACCGATATTTGTTAATGTTTCGTTTTCATTAAGTAGTAGAACATTGCTTTATTATTGTATAATTTATGAGTTTTCAAATCAACATTCAGGATTGTCTGATGTTAACTTAGAATTGATTTTTCTATTGCAGTACATATGTTTAAAAAATTTGTTTGCGTAATAACTCTTAACAGTTGCAGGTTAATTTTTACCAAATGCAGTAATTACTATTAAACAGAAAGCGGCGGAGGCTTAATACCATATACATATGTAGCTTTAATAAAAGATTGTAAGTTTAAATTTTAAATATCAATTCGTAAATGATGTACTGTGCAGAGCTGGAAAGAAATCCAGCGGGACGACACAGGGGAAGTACACACTTAACATATAAGTAAGTACTTATTTCGTTCGAACCGTCTGATTCTTCTATTACGCGATGCTGTACATATGATCCGACTCGTCGATGTTATCGCATCGGCCAATAATAACAATGCCTGTATCCTATTTCTACGATTGTTTAGAGAAGGTAGGCTTATGGGGATATAACCCAATCAGACCCGCATTCCTTCCACTGGACTTCTTTCCAGCTCTGCGCAGTACAGCCCTGGGTGCTTTAATTTACGACCACACTACATCGGTTTCACCAACTGTACCTACTACGCTATCTGCCTACTAAAGCCCCTTTTTCTCACAAGTCAGTTACGCTTGCAGTAACATGTACATATTGACTTACTTTATCTTGGCATATCTTTGTAACGTGCAGCCACTAAACCTGGTGAAGTCTATATGCATTTTCCTTACATGCAGTCTCAAATTTTTCAGGAATCAAGCAACTTTACGCGGAAACACTTGAGCAATCTTGGTACATAGAAGATCATCAGAAGCCAATAATTGTGAGCTTTAGTATAGCATAATTTAGAGTTTATAAGGTTTGGCCGATCAGGATTATATCTCAGACAGCGATCGTAAAGAAATCAATCCTCATTTTTTGAGCTTAACGAGAGTTTTAACACTTACTGCATAAAGTTACTTTTCTAACTTTATCCTAGAAAAATATTTTTCGACAGATTTCGTGATTTACTTTTATACGTTTTACATGAGCCATTCGTTATTTTTCTATAAGTTACTCTTTGATTAACATTAACATTCATTTATGCTGTATAATTTGATAAAAAAAAATCAAAGAAACAATTAGTTATTTTTGTTTGTACTAATCAAAGTGAGTGTTACGTATAAATAAGAAGTTTAAAAATACTTCTTTGATTGAATATCTGAAGGCATGAAATTAGATTCCACACTATAGATACATAATGTCGGCCAACATTAAGGCCTTGAAGAACAGGTAAGTAAAGTGAAAGGAAGTTCCAGCAACATGTTTCATGAATTGCCAGTAGAGCTTCAGATTTATTGTAAATACTACACAAGCTTCTCTCGCCGGTTCATATATTGTGACATTTTAAGTGAGTAGGTGCTACTTTTATGTCAAATTGTATATTATAATGGGATACTTAATATTTACACTGATAACAATATGTAAAAAATGCGATTGTAGAAATATTGAGAAATTGTTTCTTCATGTTTTAACTTATTTTCACTCATACTATCTTAGTTCTATTAATGTATAAAATCCAAGAAATAGTGAAATATAGGCATAGCAATATATGAAATGGGATCGAGGATAGTATCAATATTCATTGAAGTATAAAATGATATTACAAAATAAATCGTACATGTACAAAATCGTAAAAAATATTTAT